ACGTTCTCTACTTCTGGACATTCCTCGTGAACCACAACTAAGTTCATGTCTCCGTAATCTCGTGATGGATTAGGAGGCGCAAAATCATATCGTACAATACGCTGGTCTGGCTCGACCAAGAAAATATAACTCCGCGGTGGTTTCCTCGCGCTCCCTTCCCAGAATCGTGGCACGTCCCATTCCGAGTAAACCTGTAGAGGGTTGTACAACCTTCCTTTCCATGTCATGCCGGCGCGGGATCGTGTCGGCACCGCTAGCCAATTAACCGCCGCCTCGCGTGTGCTAAACAGTCGGAGGATTACCGTTTCCGCAAGCATCTGAACGACGAAGCGGTAACTCTGTCAGAGTAAATTTAGATATACCCCCTTTCATATTCAATCTTCTATCCCCTTTTTGGGCCGTGATTCTTATGTCACGGTCCTTCCGCGGAAGTAGTGCCTATTTGCACTTCTTTTAACTCTAGTTGAGCCACAGGCTGGGCTTCTTATGGCACCGGCCCTCCCATGCGTTGGTGGCTCCTAAGACGGCCACCCAACAGGGTACTAGATTCAGCCTCCCCTTTCCCTGAAAGCACGAGGAGGCGACTGCTTCTAGCTTCAAGACACCCCACCCTCTAGGAAGTGGTTTGGAATACCCCTGCCCCTCGCCCGAACGCATTCTTCAGGACTCAGAAGTTGGGCTGGCTCCACTGCAACAGCATGGTATCCCCCCGCATAAGCGGTCCACTCCGAGTCGATAACAGGGCCGGCCCCTAAGGCAACGAACCCCTGCCTCAGATACTTCCTAGATAGAGGAAACCTAGACACTAGGTGCAGACGACCGCTCTATGCCCTCCCGGCTAAGGGTCGACTTAGACGAATTAAGAAGAGAAGGAAGTAAAATATTTTTAGACGGGCATAGGAGGATAATGGTCGTTCGGGATAGAATGGGGAAGTCCTTGGGAAGGTACTAAGGTGTTCCCTTGTCTTCTCTTCTTTTAATTTTCCCACGGCCTTCGTTCTTCCGGCACCCGTCCGTTCGCACTCCCGTCATTATTTCTGTTCCTCCTCTTTTCCGTCACATGCATTCAGGTTGAGTGGGAGAGAGGTAAGCATCTCGATTATTATCTCGAGCAAACAATGTTGATTCCTTTTCACGTGCATCTCCCAACCTACCTGCACAATCAAAAAAATAAACAATCAAGAGATTCATCCATCCCTCAAACAAGTCAGCCCTTTCTCCACACGCATGACATCACACTCTCACTCCACCCTTTCCCTTGAATTCAAAGCAAGGTCATGCAAGGTGTGGGTTCACGCGGGTGTGCAAAGGAGCTGAGTCGCACTGACCTTGAGTGAATTTCTTGAAGGCTCACTCAAGAAAGYCAAGTCTTCGCTGAAACAAGTTCGGCCGCAAAACTCTCGTTGTGGCCACTCACAAGGATGGGTCACACCCTCYTTCAACCRCCACCTCTGACTCAGRCGTCGCTCACCAACACAGAAGCGAGCCCGCCGTTGAGGAGGGCGCCACACTCTCACTAAGAACAGTGCCAACTCAACCCACCAAGTACCAAGTCAGGTTATCACCTGCCTGCCACAATACTTGGTGGTCCTGGATCCAGTCCCCTGCTCGTTCAGCGTGCCGCAAAAAAAATAACTACGGCCTTGACCATTCCCTCAAGTGTCACATGCCGCAACGTCCTCAACAAAACGATCACCACACTCTTCTTATCCCAAGGTGCACTTCCACCTGGGCGGTACCGTCCTTGCGGCAACGTCCAACCCCCCTTCTCGCAGTCCTGTGCAAAATACTGTTGCCACACAATCCAGTAGCACCCGCGCCGTACCGCCAAGAAACCCAGCGCTGCCGCCGCACAATTTCGGCAGCGCTTCCGCCGTATCGCCAAGAAGAATAGCGCTGCCGTCCCAAGAATTTGGCAGCGCTTCCGCCGTCCTACCAGGAGAACTAGCGCTGCTGCCGCTCAATTTCGGCAGCGCTTCCGCCGCACCACCCAATCCAGCGGCATCCTCCCGGCTATGGCTCCCCCACAGCCTGCAGCACAGCACAAGAGGTGGGGCAAAAAGCTCCCAGCCTCTAGCTATGGCTGCCTCCTTCTTCCTCCAAGTGCTTCTGCAGACCTCCAGCACTTCGCCTTATCACGCCAGCAGCCAGCCAACCAGCATCTACTCAGGTAGAATGCCCCAGCAACATCGCCACAAGTGTGAGGCTGCTGGGTGGCAGGCTAGCTTTTATAGCTGGCCGAAAGCTGAGGGCAGCTGCTTTGCCCCCAGCCAAATCCCGGAATAGAGCCTGGCCCTTGATCAAACTTGTGATCAAGGGCCAAGGAACTTGATGTTCCCCTAGGGGAACCAAGTTCTGACCCTTGACAGTGCATCTGGCCTTCACCCGCGGCCAAACGCAGCATTTTCAAGCAGACTGTTGAACGCAACAGTCTTCAGTCTATTCACAGTCCAGATGCTTCTAAACTTGCATCTGGACCGAGGCTGCGGCTAGATCCGCGACAATTTCTCTTTTTTTTT